CCGACGATAAGGAAGTTACTTACCGCAGTAAAGGAACTTAGATAAATTACGTGAAGTAATCAGAGAAGATTATTCCCAGTGACAGCGTTCAGTGATCCATTAGAAATACAATACATATCATTTTTATGAGCGCATCTCAGCGAATATGATGGTATAGATTTTACGAATTTCTGATTGGTAAATCTCAAGATAATAGCTTTCAAAGCCAAAAATCAATTTTTCAATACAATTTCATGATTATCTCAACATTTAGTGATTTATTAGAAATACAACACATTTTATTTAATGATCGCATTTTAATAAACACAATGGTGCAGATTTCATGAAATTTTGATCAATAGATCATTAGATAATAGCCTCTGAAACTTTAATATAATTTTATTATTTTATTATTTATATAATCAGCAAAAATATTATGGAATTTTTATTTGACTTGAGTTGAGTTGAGTCAAATTTAAGTATAACTCAAGTCAAGTTGAGTTAGAGTTTTAAAATTTTTTGACTCAACTCATTAAGAGCTTTACATTTAGTAAAATAGACTTTGATAAATAAGTTATTCAATAAGATAGACTTTTAATAAACTGATCATTTAATAAAATAGATTTCAAGGCAAATGTTTATTCAGCTAATTAGACTCAGTCAAATGGTTTTAGTCAATCAGGTTTTGATCAAAAGTCTAGATATATAATTAGCCTTAAACAAAATTAAAAACACTTTTTTCAAAAATATTCTTCTTTTTATTTTCCATATATAAAAATTGCTAAATAGTATTATTTTTTATTAAATAATTTTTTTTACCTCTTTTTAATTTTTTTTCATTTTTCATTTTCTTAAAATTTGCCTACAAATTTATATAATAATATTTCTTATTCCTTTTTAAATGATAATACTTTTTTTTTTTGCAAATCTTTAATATTGAAGATTGCAAAATCCTACACAATATTTTTCAAACTTAACTAATTATGTAATTAGGTCTCATCCTGTATTAGGAATCAGCTGTAATCTAAATCTTAACATAAAAGCAAAAGTCTGACACTATAATCTGAATATCTTAGTTAGAAACTTAATTGAGTTATTTTTAAGTTACTTTTTTTTGTAAATTCTTTAACATAGGTGGTCAGGTTTCATAGTTATATTTTTGTTTTGTTTTAAAGATTTATTTTAGAAAGATGATAACAAAATTGTATTAATTTATTTCTATTTCTTATTAATGCTAGTAGTCATTTTATATGTGTAAAGTGGGTCTAGTGAAGTTGACGATGACAGATTAACTTAAACAAAATTTAAATATAGTTATAAGGATAATTAGTCTTTTAATATATTCTATAAGAAATTGAAATAAGAAAATGATATGTATTTTATAAGATTTGTATACGTAATTGATAATTTTATTTCACAATTCTATATGTTTTATAATGATTTAATTTTTTATAATTTTTTAGAAAGCAACCTGAATCTGTTGCTTCAACTTTCAGAAATGCTTCTTCCAATAATATCCTCTTAGATGAAACAATTATTGCTGAGACTTTTCTTCCTAAAAAAAAACACCTTCTCCAAATGTTTTAGATGAGAATGAGTATATCCCTATTGAAGACAATGAAAATATGAATACTAATAATCGTCGTGACTTTATTACTATTTCACGTCTAACATCTTTCGCTTATACTTCACTTATTTCTAAAACAGCCAAAGACCTCACTACCCAGACTATTATCAAGACTCTCAATAATCACTTTGCTCTAGACAACACATTCAAAGGTATCAACATTTATCACATCAATTTCATTAGATTTGCTGTAATCTATTTTACTGATCAGGAGTTGATGACTAACTTCTCCTCAATGAAATTTTCTGATTTAGAAATTAAACAACTTATTGACTATAAGGATTACAAAGACAACATGCATATCATGGATATTCATCTCAATGTTAAATAAGAACCTCTTAGCCTGTTAAAAATTAACAAGTAAAAAATTACAATTAATGATTACGTTATCGATGAGATATTCAATATTATAGTATAATAAAAATAGCCTATATAATTTTTGATAAGAATAATTTTTTAAATATTATTTTAACCAATTTTATACATTTTCTCAGGATAATTCCAAGTATTTGAAAGCAGTTCCATCTGTTTTTACCAAATATGATAAAGTTACCAATGTTAAGGATAAAGTGTATCATGTGATAAATTGATAATAATTGATATAATGATTTTATATTAAATAGTAATACTAATTTTCGCAAAAGGTAAACTTTTGTAATACTCAACATATAAGAATAAAACTTATATCATTATAAAGATGCAGTTTTGAACTTTACCTTTCAACTTTTAAAAAATTTTGTTCATTAAGAAACATTTTGAAAAAAAACTGATATGAAGTTACAAATATGAATATATTTTTACGAATATGAAATAATGAATTATATTAGTTCTTAATTTATTGGTACTATTTGGCTTGACTTATTCTATGAGGTCTGTATACATTTTTTCTTTATATTTAGACGCGTAAAAGTTATACTTTTCACATTTTATTTTTTTTATATTATTATTAGTATTAAATTCTTTTATTATTATTAATATTATTATTATAATAAAAATTCCTATTTTTTATACATCCAATAATATCATAAATCTTCTATAACTTTCATTTTTACTTCAGCAATAAGTCCTAACATACTTGCTAATAAATTTTGAGCATTTGGTAAAGAATAATAAAGTGAATTTTTTTGTTCTACATAACCTGTACTACCAGATCAGTAAGCATATAACTAGCCAATTCTTTTGGCTTTCCAAATTTGACTTTCAGCTACTTTATATACATTAGCTCAATCAAACCTGACTCTCGAATCTTTTTAATATTTGACTTACAAAAAATTTTTACCACATCTCTTCAGTGATTTTACAATTACTATTACCTATTTCCTCAACAATATTTGATAAATGAAGAATATCTTCTATGCAATTATCACGAGTTGGCTATTCTTTTATCTGATTTTTACAATTATCACATTTCAAACAAGAAGAAGGAACACCATTTCCATTTCAAAGATAATAATGACTAATTATTTAACTTTTGCATTCATATTAAGTTCAGCAAAATAAGAGAACTTCACGAATTTTACGTATTCCATTATCAAAATAACATTTTCATTCACATTTTTAGTCAGTTGTATTTTGAGTATTAAAATAGCTATTTATTAAATATAATTATTATCAATATAAAATACTAAAATTTTCTAATTTTTTATATAATTATTAGTGATTTAACTCAAATACTAACGTTTTACGATTTTTAGCTAAGATTCCAAAGTTTGTTCTTAAATCTTTTTTATTGAATTAAATATAACACTTCTAGATTCACTATCATCACGTCCTGCTCATCTAATTTGTCGAACTAAATTCACTATATGTAATAAAAAGTATTAAATAAAAGGCATATACAGTCGATTCCCTCTATAGTCACCTCCTATATAATCACTCCCCTTCTTTAGTCACATTATAGTTCAATTCTGATTTTTTAAATAAGAAAATACCCTTTTATAATCACATAATATATATAAATATAATCACATCAATTTTTAGTC